TAAAAGTTTTAATAACAGCCGGCTTTAATAGCACAGAGGATATATGGAATCTAACACACAAACCTCAAACACACTGCTGTGGAACTTTATGAGAAGAGGTGATTGATAACATATGCTATTTAGTAGACCAAAGCACCTTACAGTGCTATTAGTGAGCAGTGTTTTTCAACATTTTGGCAGCGTTGGCGCCAAAATGTCACAAAGTCTTGACGCACGTGGCTGAGTCTGTGAAGCAAAATCATCAGATAAATTGATGACACAAGCTCCTGAAGCACCACCTAATTCATATTATGCATTCCAAATCTGCAACACAATGCATGACACTTGACGTTGGCCTGCAGTCACTCAAGAGCTCATAAATAAAACAGAGGTGGACGTCATCGCTGGAAGCAGCAGAGCCCCATATGTATGCAGGAATGTGTAGTGTGGGTGTGGTGGCGGGGTGGCTGGCTAGGGTTCATAAACATTAGGACCGGTTCAGGAAGAGGTCAGAGGAAAGGCTGTTGGCACAGTGGAAGACCCACGAGATACATCCAAATGTCGCTGAACTCCCCTCCCAGCCAAGCCCTCTGGGGAAAACAAAAGGGGAAACGTGCGCACGTTCCCCGATGACGAGGAGACAAGCACAAATATGGAGAGGTCATGCAGAGGGAGCAGAGGGAGCAGAGGTTATGGAGGGCCGGCGGGGGAGGAGGAGAACGGAGGATGCAGATGTGCGGTGCGGTGGAGAAGGGAGGCACGATGGGAGGAAATACAACAAGCTATTGTTTGGAGAGAGAGGACAGGAGCGGACCCACGAGAGAGGCAGCTGAGGACTATTCACCAGAGTTTACTTACACAAACACACACACACACACACACACACACAGACACACATACACATACACATAAAGGCATGACGGCTGATAGTGTGTAAGCACCAGTCAGGCATTCTGCACTGGTCACCTGATCGTGATGGGTAAAGGTCAGCATACTTTTCAGGAAATAATGTTCTTTATGGAGAGCTCTTAATGAGTTGACATTACCTGCAAACACGGAACAATAGAGAGGCAAAAATACAAGAGGATGGATACCCATCATCCCTCTGTAAGGGCCCTCACTATAGAGTTCAACAGCTTATTTGCCATATAGAGCTGTCGTTGTTCAAGATTTACATCAGTAGTATTTAAGACCAACAAATTTATGATCATCAAACAGTGTGACCAGCTTTAAAGTTATGTTGTTATTTCTGTTCTGTCAGAAATGTGCTTATTAACTAAGTTAGAAAAACAGTGATAATACTCTATTTACTAGTGGTACTAAAGCCAGCAACCAGTTAGCTGGCTTTAGTATTTTAGCATAAAGACTGGAATCAGATGGAAACAGCTAGCCTGGTTTTATTCAAAAGTAACAAAATCTGCCAACAAGCACCTTAAAAGCTCACTAATTAACACTTTATATCTCATGTATCTCATTTGTTTAATCTGTACAAAAAATTATGAAAGCCATTTAACAGGAGTTTATGTGCCAGACTATTTCTTGGTCCGGACCAGTAACTTCTTGGATTCTCTGCTGGTTGCCTGGCAACTGGTCCTGGGCTGAGCCAGGAAAGCTGTTTCGCCCTGTTTCCAGTCTTTATGCTAAGGGCTAAGCTAACCGGCTGCTGGCTGTAGCTCATGAGTACTGTACAGACATGAAGTGTATTGAATCTCTCATACTGCGTAACCTGGTTGGGTCCCTCTGTAAATGTTAAAAAGGATTCGGTCTAGACCTGCTCTATTTGAAAAGTGTCCTGAGATAATTTCTGTTATGAATTGGCGCTATACAAATAAAATTGAATTGAAAAATTGAATCATCTAACTCTCAGCAAGAAAGCAAATAATTTCCCCAAATGTCTATAACTATAATAACAACAACCTTCGATATTTGCTTAATATTGTAGTTCTGTTTCTCCGTACTGCCACTTCTGTCTATTCTGTTAAAGATGATAATGTCATATGAATATTATTAAATTTTTTAAGCATTTAGAATAAATTATCTGTTTAAAGTTCCAGGGGCTTTAGAGACAAAGTAATCTAAAAGTAATTGAAAAGAGGATGATTGTTTTCCGAATGTGATTAAACCAGTGGATTATATCTTTATCATGAGAATGAACAGGTCAGCCATAAGACAGACCAAGTCAGGATGAACCCCTCAAGCATTTAGTAAAACGATGCTTTGATGAAAAGATTTATGACAGTAGAATAAAATTTATATTTGGCTTCTGTGATAAGAAACCCTATAATCTAATAAGGGCATTCAATAAAAATTACACTGGTTTAAATCACAATTACCAAACCGTATACCCTGTGACTAAGGGGGGAAAAACAAATCACTGTCTGTCTTCTGTACCACTGTTACTCCTCAGCTGTGCTAATAGGTCCACTTAATCTCACGTAAAAGCTTAATATTTTATCATCGCGCAACATAAACTGATCTAGCAGGAATGTGCAGTGCTGTGCAGGCAAGTTCGGCACTTAAAGTCATCGCTTTTTAGTTGGTTAGATGACTATTTACGCAATAATCAGTTGCAAAGTCCTGTAAGAGAGCCTGATGAGGTGAAGTAAAGCCATTTCACCACACACTAATACTGTGTGTGGTTAAATGGGGTGTTCACTGGAGCTGTGGGCAGGGTCGAGTAGTAACAGAATACTTGTTAATTACAGTTTCATAATCGAAAATACAATACATGCTCTGTATTCTAATGTGTTACTTAGAATTGATTTTGACTCCAAATACTTGTGAAAAAGGAGATACATTCTTGGAAAACATTTAAACTGAAACAAGGAATTCTAATTGAGGCAACAGTGGTGGTGTTCCACATTTCCATGTGACGCGTTATAGTCAAATAAATGACATCTGAATGGATTAGTTGGTTTCAAACCAGGGAATCTCACAAGGTTTTATCAAGACGATAAGAAAAAACTTTTTTTGTGAAATACGGGAAAGTAGTTACTTCCTCAGGCCTCTAAAAGATATTCATGGGAAATAATCATAGATGGGAAAATCTTTGATCTGCTCACAACTCAGACATACGTGACCTGAGGATGGGCTGTAAAGAGGGGTTGCAGGTAAAATGTAGCTTCACATTAAGCCAATATAACGCCCTTGTAAATGTCAGAAAACATTGAATATGTGCCTCTACATTTTTTCCAGAGCTCAAGGTGATCAAGTAAATCTAAAATACAAAAAAATAACCAGTTTCAGTATTGGAATACATTTAGTAAGTAATATATCCCACCCTGTTTGCAATTTCCTTGAGAAGACGACAGATACAGAACACAATGACAATCTCTCCCTCTCTGGTCACAGCAGATACTTTTGAATCAGAATCTAACCAGAACAACTAATCTACCCCCCCCCCCCACACACACACACACACACGCTCAGCTATCAGCACCATGTGCGCCATGCACCCCCACAATGCAGGGACACGGTGTTAAGAGAAGGATGTGCACACCTCTCACCCTGGTAACACCTTCTTTCACAAAGCGTACTTCTATCATGTACACCGCTGTTAACAACAGCGCTTTAAAAGTCTCAGCAGAGCAGTGTTGTAGAGCATACAGTATGATAATGATTTACACATGCAGAGAATGACAGAGTGCAGTGAAGCAGACTGTTAAGCAAATGTTTTTGTCATAGCCTCAGTAATGTGCTTTTACAATCCTGATGTCCGGACAGCTGGCGAGCCAAGACTGGCAGCCTGCCTCGAGAAACCAGAGACGCCGCCTCGACCAAACCGTCTTCCACAGCATTTCTCCTATAGCAAACATACTCTGCACAGAAAACCTCTGGTGAGATGTGTGTTCACAGGGGTGAGTGACATCAGCTTGATGATATGGTGAACGCAAACTTTTGGGATTCCTCTGTAGACCACAAGTCCCACAACTATGAATCTGTTAGCCATCATTCAGCTCTGGGGAAACTGCATAGTTTAATGGTAACTTTACAAATTTATTCATTTTCAGTTTTATTAATGCCAAGGGATATATCCACCTGGGCTGGCAGTCTCCCCGTGCTCTCTGACATTTTTTTGTCTCCCAGAGAGAAAACAGGCTCAGGTTTCATTATGTGCTTACTTCTCTTAACCATCTACACCCACGCACTGTCCCAAATGCAGAGGGATCCCATTCTGACGCCCTCTGAACAAAAAGAGTGGGAACGAGAGGAAAAGTGAGAGCTGTACACCAACAGATACCGAGAGAGAAATGGGGAGAGAATCATTTCTTTTGGCTAATGCACTCCCATTCTCTCCAGCTGGCCTTATTGTGTAAACACAGCAAAATCAAATGCTCTCAGGCTTAGTGCATCACACCCAAAAACAGGTGCTTTTACTCCCTCAATCCCCATCTTTCTCCCACCCACTCACTCTGAACTCTGACCCTACAGTCCAGGTGGCAGGTGCTCCAGTATCAGTGCAGTCCTAGAGGGTGAAAAACACTGAGCCATTTCTCATACTAATGAACAGTGGGACCTTCTCCAACAGCCATAATTCTTATAGAAAATAAATGCATGAACAGGAGGTGCAGAGAAGGAAGAGGTCTGCTACAGTAAACATTCAAGGGCCCTCTCTCAAGCTTTGCATCTTTGCATTGAGCCTCTGCAGAGGATTTCCAACTTATTCTCTATAGATACTCAAAAGATTGGTTGTGTCATACTGAATTCATTTATGTGGCTGCTAACAAGAGTTAGCAGAGTTCAGTGCTGGCTTGACACATACTGAGATGAAATTGATTAAATGTGGTTTTCAGTTGATTACAACATACATTTATATTGGATCTCACTGACTTTTTAGATACTGTGACAAACAGGGTGAAGCAATATTTGTCTTAGTTTGTGAATTAATTATTAACCAATTTATGATGAATCCAACCACCACCTTTGATGAAGAGTGATGCATCCATTCCCAACCTAAGACTGACATTAAATAAAAGGGTTTGTCTTATGAGCATATAGTCTGTTGGCATTTGTCTCCTTACCTGCAGCAGCATGAATGAGGACGCTCTGGTTGGGCCGCAGGTTGCCGAAGTCAAACAGCATCATATAGGCAGTGATGTAGTTCACAGGGAGGGCTGCTGCCTCCTCAAAACTCATGCCCTCTGGTATGAGGAAGGTGTGGCTTGCCGGCACTACAGCCACCTCCTGCCACAGCCCGAAACGGTTCAGCACCATCACCTTATCACCGACCTGGAACAGAAAGCAAAGGAAGACCCGTCCTGAGAGGAAGGTAAAGCAAAGGGCTCTCTGTCTATTTCCAGTTACTGAAAAGAATGTAACCTTAGTCAACCTGAGCACTACAAGTTGTGATTAAGACTAGGTGAGCAGAGAAGCAAAGAGAAGCTAGTGATAGTGATGGATAAGCAACAGTTGAAAGTAGTAGTAGTATAAATGCAAATGTAACCAAGCTCATCTAAACTCTAGTTTATCATCCACTAGTATATCCACGTTTATAGCACCAATAGTTAAAGAATAAGCAGTTTGTGGGTGGTGCTGATGAAGGGGTACTGGAGTTTATCTCACAGTGTCGGAGTACGACTGACAAAAAAGGTTGGGAACCACTGCCCAAATGGAAAAGTAGTCAGAGATTGTTTTCAATTATCCTTTCCATAACACCAAAGCTGGAAGTATCACTATGCCAATTCAGGCTAAATCTTTTCTCGGGGTCAATACTGTTATCTCCAAGGCGAGCATTGCAATGTGCAATGTGGGCAAGATTCGAATATATAGCCAGTTTTTAAAACTATTTTATTAAATTAAAGATAAGTTCTGGTGTATTTTAATAGATTAAGTACTTCAGCTTGAACAGGATCCACTAGCAGTCCAATACCCCAGGAGGATTCACTGATAGAGCCCAAAGTGTTCTGGAGCATCCTGCCATCTGCAGCCTCATGGTTTCTCTGCCGCAGTGGGAAGGATGCAAGCAGGAATAGTAAGAGTAGTGGTTTTACTGTTTTGCTCACAACAATGGCAGACATGCAAACACGCAGCCTCCTTGTCCATCGAACCTCCAAGAGTTTGCTCTTGAAGAATGCAAGCAAACGAGGAAAGCGATAAACCACAGCAGAGTAAGAGTAGTCACCGTATTGACTCTAAGGAAGGAAATAATGGCCTACTTTTTTCCTTTTGTTTAACAGGTTGTTTCAGGATTGGTGCCAAAGTACGCTAGCTGTTTACCGATCTGTGGCAGGGGTTAGCTGTTTTCATATCCACATCTACAGCTGTGGGTTGTTTGGTTCTTTTAAGTTACAACGTAGAAAGGAAGAAGAAAAGTACTGAAAGATGCTAATGTGCTAAATGTGGGGCTTCCAGAGATCCATTTATTTCTATTTATTCAGATTAGCTTAAGTTTGACTGTAATGGAAATGTCAGAATAGTTTGTGTGATAGAAAATGTGAGTATGATCTAAGCATCAGAACCACTATCCTGAAGCCACAGACTTCATTCAACGTGCCATCTTGTCATTTTCTGCTCCCACACTATCCTTATCAAAGCAGGATCCTGCGAGTCACAACCGTCTCTTTCCAGAAGGACGAGCTGCGACGTAAGCGTACCCCCGGCGCCCTCAACGACCAATCAGGAGAACCCACTCGAGGGACACAGGAAACAGAGACGACTGCAGCATTATAACTCTCTTCCTGTTTTCTTCCTCCCCCTTATCCACCCTGCTCAACACAGCTCTCCCTCCCGCCCCGTTTCCATTCTCCTCACTTTTTCTCTTCCCTTCTTTCTCTTTCACTTCCTGACTCCTTTTCCTCTTACAACTTTAGAACATCTTCCTTCCCCTTCTCCTCCAGTCCCTCGTCTCTTCCTGTCTGCGTCTCGGTCTGTCTTTGACGCTCTCTCTTTCCTCACTATTTCTTCATCCTTCACTGACTCATTCTGTCCTCACCATCCTCTTTCTTTATTCTTGTGAGGAGCGTCCCATATCCCCTCTTCCTCATCAGCGAGACAGGACAATGGGGCCCATCTTCTCCCCTGGCCTCTCTCCACTCATCAGAGTCCCTGCCAGATTCTTCCCCATGGCTGAGCATAAGACAAGCTCTCTCCTCCTGGGAACAAACCCTCTCCACCCGGGCCTCTCTAATGGTCTGGAGGGAGCCATGCGCCTCGCTGTCTATCCACTCCAATTAGAGAGATCTCCCTCTCTCTTTTTCTTTTCATATCCGCATCTTTCTGTCCGAGGCCGAGTCATTTGGTTTATTTTCAAACTATACTTTCACTTTTTCACCATGCGCTACTTCTCTTTCCCTTTGTTATTCATGCTGACTTGCTCTCTCCCATCTTCATCTTCCTCCCAATTTTTTTTTCTTTCCGATTTTGATTCTTCAAACTCATCAGCCTCGCTGGTTTAATTGGGGGTACAGTGTGGCACAAATCGATAGACGGGGGTGTTCAGGCTTTTACAGGAAACACACACAAATATGACTCACACATTGCCTTCAAATGCATCTGCAGCTTTTCTTCCGCGCCCACGTAAAGCATGTGAGTTACTGTCAGTCACATAGAATCTGGATAGGAACATTCAAGGCCAAGCGAACGAGCCTTGTGACAGTTTTGTTACAACATCTTCACACTGTGACACACCAACACACACACACACATACACTTGCATTTTCTTTCTCAGCCTTCATGCCAGTGCATCAAATGTACTCACAGTTGGGGTCAGGAGTGCGGGGGCGCTGAACAAAGACACTTCCAGTTAACTGTATATGAATAGACTTAATCAGATGGTGATTCAATTTTGGGGTATGCGGGCCTCCAAGTCAGCTGTTTTGTGGCTTTGAGCTTTGATGATCTCAGCAAAAAAAATTATCAGAGAAGAAAGAAATTATGATGAACTCAAATTTCTGATGCAGTGTTCCTGAGTCAGATTGAGGCAAAAGATGAAGGTTAAATGTTAACTCCCATAGAGCGTGCATGGCTCCTGTAGATGTAATTAAAAGGAAACACAATATCTCCCTGGTGTCAGCGTAGGTGTTATTGTGCTTTAACACGGTTTGTATGATGTTAGGATAAAGGCCACGCCCTGCTCACATACAGCTAAATCTGTGACAGGAGGCTCTTCATGCTGCTTTTTGCACTTGACTGCACCTCTGATTATGCAAATCAGCAAATTATGCTAACAAAGTACCATTATTCTTCATATTTTTTCTGCAGCTTGATTAATATTAAAAACCTTGACGCAACTCTATTCTTTCAATTTGAGAAATTTCCAGAATTAATCAAGAAACACCACACAAGCTTGGGGAGAAAAATACAAAACAGAGACATCTGATTTTCTTTTTTAACCCAGCAGCTTATGGCAAACTATCAACTGGCCGTGTAGGGTCTGGAGGCAGGCTCTAAATGTTGTGATCATGGTGGAAAGTACACGTAGGATGAAAGGGCAGGGCAGGGAGGAAGGTATAGATGTCCTGAAAGGAGAGGATGGTAACAAAGGGAGGGACTCACTGACAGCATGATTGACAGCTGAAGAATCAAGAGATTACACAAAAGAAGGAGAGATAGATAGAGGGAGGGAAGGAGGGATGGAGGAAATACCAGAATGACAATGTGGGCCAGAGGGAGGTAATTGAGAACATATGGGTCAGATCCTACCAAAACTCACCGAGGGAGAGCATTTAAAATGAAAAAAAAAGCAGGCCAGGAGAAAAAAGTGCTGATGTTTGGTGTCAGGGGAGCTTGTGATTTGTGATATTTCCCCTCTTTCCTCGCTTACTCACTGTTACACTTTTCCCTGAATTCCTTCCTAGGTCATTTCGGGTGAGGGCACTGTAGTCTTACTTCATTCAACTCCATTGTCCCCTTGAGGGATGCTTGTTTTGCAGCCGTTATTGAAATACAATGCGAGGCATGGTGGATAATAAATACATATAAAACAGAAGAGCCAGCAAACAGCAAAACAATAAACAAGCCAAAGACAGGGAGGCTAGAGGGCAACAATGGTGCGAGTGCTGCCTTTAACAGATTTGCAAGCTTATCAACATTATAGAATCTAGTAGAGAGGAATTTTAATACATCATATCCAGGGACGGGTGTTTTTCTATACTGGTACCTGAGTTTTGATATCAAATCAATATTTTTTCAATACCTTTGATTAATAAAAACTTGTTTTTTTCTCAATGCCTCTTATATCGTTTGATAACGCAGGCACTTACATAAAGTTCAGCACTATATCTAAAAGTCAGAAAGATCAAATAAAAATCAATCACACTTAGCCACTGATGTTTATGTTGCATTATCGAATTAAATGGAATAAATGTGTGCACAGCTTTTTGTACATTATATGAGAAGCAAACTATCAAACACACCCATTACTGTATGTCTTTGTGTGCACGTGTGTGAGAGAAACACAGATAGATGTGCAGACAGATAGAGCTGCAGTGAGTGATGAGCCTCCCAAAAACTCTGTGCCATCAGGGTCAGCACATTCCCTCTGAGTTAGCTGCCAAAAGATCTCAGAGATCTCCATCCATTAGAAAGATTGGCTCTTAATTCTATAACCTAAGGGCTGCAAGGGGAGGTGGGAGTGCGAGGCCTTGATGACAAGCTGTGTGTTTGTGCATGTGTGTGTAGTGCGTGACCTTTAAATCCAATCTACATTACTGACAATTGGGAAAGAAGCTATAAAGTATTTTAGAAACACGAGCATCTTAACCTTCTGTGATATCTGGCTGCTAGTGGCTGACCTATCACCAGTCTTATTACTCTGCAAACACTCCCCATCCATACACATACACATACATATCCATACACTTGACAGACATATTTGCCACTCCCAGCCAGATGCACTGATCCTGTACTTGCATCACACATGGTGATCAGCCTGGCATTATCCACAGACATTAACTGGCTGATGTGAGGAAAATGTGGTGCTCTTACAACAAATATCATGAGTCATCACTGGCTGATGTGTTACATTTTGGCTTTGTAGTTTAATTAACTTAAAAAGGCGTTAACGGTGATGCCATGCAGCCATCAGGAGACAGACATATAGGCCTGTGACTCATCATGCAATGTAAGCAAGCGACAAATAAATTCTCTTCTATCCTCACTTCATTCCTCGTGGTTGAGCATGAAAGAAAAGTCTGAGATGTTTTTATTATTATGGCTCTTCAATTGGCCTGGCTTCATTGTCTGAGAGGTTTGAACTTTAATCCTGATATATTGATGAATGTTCTGAACACCACAGAGGCGATAGGCTGTGCGTTGACAAAGAGGGCGAGGGATCCTATTTCTCACATCATGCTGTCTGATGCGTCGCGCCTCGCCCTTTCCGCTCGGTGAGTCTGTGCGCCACCGTCGCTCCCGGTAACAAAAGGCGTCGGTGACTCCGGTCCCCGCCACCGGAGTCAAGTCAGCCATATTAATAACTGCAGCATCTGACCATCGTCTACAAAATAAAGTCCCCTTCCAATTAATATTTTGCAATCAAACGATGTATAAAAATGGAACCGAGGTGGCTTTTTATTGTTTTCCATCCAAAACGTTTGGGCCTGGGCAAGATGAGCTACAACTGCAGACCTCAGCCTACATGTGTACTGTATATGACCACATTTTGCACTTCCAGTTGCCTACATTATAATTGAACATGTTTTACATACTCATCATTCCTTCTTGAATGCTGGTTCATGCTTATATTTTCATAATCGCTTTTTTTTTTTTTTTGCTTCGTTAAAAAAGGCAAAGGAAACTCTCTGGTGACTGTTCAAGCTTTCATTTTGAAGGCATTGCGGTCTGGTTTCCGGTCTTATTGTAGCTACCTTGACGCAGCTCTCCGCGCCTTGGCACACATCAAAGCGCAGTACAGCGTAGGTGCTGCAAGGGTGTAAAGCATCCCGCGGATTAGCATGTGTTTATTTAGACTTTAGACTTACAACACACTAACACGTTGCGTATGAACAGTGAATCCGTCTCCAGACCAGCAACTGTTCTGGTGCACTTTAAGTTGCTCAACCTAAGTGCGCACAGGCAGCGCAATCTGAAAAGCGGGGAGACAAGAGGGGCGACGCCTGCTGCTGGCTTCATTGTACTCAACTCGTGTCATTGACACACTTTGGGCTTCTTCTACAGAGACGAAATACAACATGAACGCACTGACTAACTAACACTAAGGCTTTTAAGTGCTGTCTCCTTATTACGCACGAGTGAATGAATGGATGGATGAAGCCATGGCATCTTTAATATAAACTATAGGCCGATATCTATTATTAACCTATTATTATGTTAACTGTCCTCCCCAATAGGCCCTTTACATTAAAAAGTGATGAAACTGTTTAATACAGAGTACAGCACTGCCACCACTCCCTGAGTAGAGAGCAAAGCCTGACACGCCCATATCCAGATGTAGCTGTTCAGCACCAAAAACCGAAGACAAATATTCATCACTCAGACAATAAAACACACACAGTCAAATCAGACTTCAAGTTGTAAGAAAAAAAAAGCTGAGAGGCACGTGTGCTTACTTTTCTGTCCGTCACTTCTTCCCCCACAGCCTCCACCTCCCCGGCGCACTCCATTCCAGGGGTGACCGGCGGGGACGGCAGCCTGTCGTACAGCCCCTAAGAGGGGTTTTTTAGGAGAGATTTAGACCAATAAGGAAGTCTCCAATACGGTACATACCAGGTTTTATCCATTAGGCAATACATACTCGTGTGGGTTCTGCGTCCTATTCTTAGTGTTTCTGTTAATCACAGCCATTGTCCTCGTGATGGCATTCTAGTTTTTAATACCACATTTTTTACTGCTTTGGTATACTATGTTTTCTGGGTTGTGATTTTTTCATTCTTGGCTTCACAGTGAAACACCATTGAAAACTTTTGCATTAATGCTTCTCTTCTGAATCTTATTTTTTCATGACTTCATACCTCTGACAGGGTCTCAAGGATCTATTGTTCGCTGTGACAGGACAGTTTGTCCTTGTCGCGTGCGTATTCATGTTACCTATTACTTTTGGCCTGTCAGAGCTATAATGAAGGAAGAGAGAGCACACTCTTGTGATGTACACTCTAGGCATTAGCGGTGATAGGTTGTTTCAATAGTGGCTCAGTTGCTTTTGAGGTGAGAGAGTGTGTAAGAAACAGGACCTGGTTGGTGTTTTCTGCGTTGTAAGATTTTTGTACCATGTTGTGTGTTCAATATATAGACGGTTATAGATAGTTATCAATAACGCTCTGCATCGTACATTGCATATGTATGTCCTTCTCGTGTCTGGGATATTGTGATTTTTTGGGCTAGTTAGCTGACTTTTGGCCCCAGTGTAGGTGCCTGAGTGGCTACTTTACTGGCCACAAGGTGTTCTTACACTCCTGTCTCTACTTCCTGCCTGTGTGTTAGCGAGCTCTCTGAATGGATACCTGGTGGTGGTCTCGTTTCCTCCAGGTCTGTGAAGTGATGGCGTTGGAAGATGTGAATATGTACATTCTGAGTGTGTCTGTGTGTGTTGTGACAAATATTAGTGGGGAGCATCTGTTCTCTTTATGTCATTGGTGTATGACCACTAAATATAGTTTAACTATATTTGGGTTCTATCGAGCTTCTCAAGCCTCCAAAGATTTGTCTTGCTGAAAAAAATGCGTCTGGATTTGTAGTTGGCCTTGTCCAATTGTTGTAGCTTTGTTTGACCATCAGTGTCGATCCTGCCCTATGGTCTGGCTGCCTGCACTTGCAACTGAATCATACAAAGCCAGGTTGACTATTGGGTTCGTTTTAATCAAGAAAAACTAAGCGTCGACCTTATTAGAGGGCAAAGCGTCATATTTTTCTGAGTCATGCCATCGTGCAGGAAGTATGGTAGAACGGGAGCCTGGACGCCATGGCCCCAAAGTTTTCTCTAATCCTACTGTAGAATAGGTGGCATAAACAGATGTGTTTTTGGTTTGTGCGTGTTGGTGTATGATGCATTTGCCGTCTGCCTCCTAGTGTCAAGTCACCACAAACCTCTACGTGTAATACAGAGCAGACATAAACTTTGAGAGTGAGGAGCGAATTATTGCTGTAAAGGATTCATTAAATGGTGATGTGTGATTTTTAGGGTTCGTGCTATCTGAGGGCAGAGTGCTACTATATTTTTCTGAGAGTGACATTGGTTTACTGTGTCTGACATGTCATATATAAATGAATAATTCGAATAGTATATGTCTTTGTTGTGTGGTGGGTGGAGTTTATTAGTGTGGGGATGCTTAGTTTTGTGGTTTTTCTCTTTGTAGGTATTTAACTAGGAACCTATATAAATATGATGTCCTCTGGGTGGTGTTCTATAGTGTGTGGCATATTAACTCTTATGTTGCCTTTAAATTAGTGTTTACTTTAAAGTGTGTGTAGATTGTGCAGTGGGTTAATCTACAGTATTATTGGTTTGTTTTGCCTGGGATTGGCTTCAGCTTTATTTGCCTTTTAGTATAATGGACATTTTTTGCTAAATGTTCACTTTCTCTGTGTATCAATATAGGCTTATCTTTTATATTGCCCTACTCTCAGTGGAGTGTTGTTATTTGTATGGTAAGGCAGCCAAACCATCCAATCACAACGAGCCAATCCCTGGTTTTTCATTTGCTCTTTCCGGGTTTCAGCTGCCCTCTGTCGTGTCTCCCACCTCCACTTTCTCTTCCCCCAGAGCGCCCGGCCGGTTTGACAGCCACGTTGGGCCCAACTTGGAGCAGCCCCACTTCCTATCGGGGTTTTTGGTGTTCCATGGGCAAGACCCTGCTTGAAAGACCCTGAACCTCTTTGCATTTTTTTTAATTTGCAAAGGCAAAGTTAAAACACAACCCCCGTTCACGGCAAACGGAAGGAGCACAAAGAAAAGGTGGGCGGGAAAAAAAAATAACAAGTTTAAATTTTTCCTAACTTCATCAACTGTCACTTCCGCAGCTCCTGGGCCACCAATGTTCTTTGGAGAGGAAAACGACCTGCCGCAACAAAACGCCGGTGGGACCAGAAGCAAGGAAGACCAACCGGCCAGGGAAGCCCCCCCAAAACCGAGCCACCCCCAAGAGGAAAGTCCGCTGGCCTGCAGCCGCCCGAGGCGCGGCTTACTGCGGGCGGACCCCACCCCGAGAAGGTCCCCCGAGGAGGGAAGACGGTTCCCACCTACCGCCGGCCTGGTTGCTCACCCCGGTAACGGGGCCCATGGGATTAAGTGAAACTGCCAGGTTGGGGAAAGAAGGGCAAGCCGCCCCGCTTCAAAAAGCGGCGAGCCTTCCCTGGTGCGGGGTCAAAGGCCTTTGGCGGCCTGAACTTCCCGGCGGACCTGGAATCTTTCGCGGGCA